CGACTTCATATTAAGCCCATTACACGGTGAACATACTTATTTTAGTGCAATGTAGCTCAGAGGGGGCAATTACCGCGGCAGCACGCAGTATCTTCGCATCCTTCAGGGCGGAGCGAAAATCCATGAGCCCGATCTAGGGGTGGTTGTGGAAAGATTCGCACAGTTAGTTAAGAGCCATTCGCGCCATAGTCACACCATAATCATGCGCATGAATCGCTGGAATGTGCGAGGTCACATTATTTCGCTGAGAGGGACGCGAAGAGCCGCGCACCGGGATGGCTGGCACCCTCCTCCCCCTGAGCCCCAGTGCGACCATATTTTATCGTGCATAGCTGAGATTTGATGAGGAGAGATTAATTTGACTGCCGTATCAGTGAATTCTTTATGTTTAATTTCAGCTGGTATCGCATTCGACGATTCAATAGCCAACCGGATAAAATCTGACTCTACACTTTCCTATACAATTCGGTTGTCGAATACCAATCGTCGCAGCAAAGGAGTAAGCTCTCCTAATATTCGAATACTTTTTTGAAAAGATGCTCGCTTTCCCTTTCAGTTTACCGGTTCAAATACCTACACACCATGGAATACGCATGAGGTGTTCGCAGTGCAATTCATCAGCGGACCCATAAATCCCTCAGAAGCCGATGGAGGCTACCCAGGTGAGTGTCTAAATAGTCACTGCAACACAATTCTCCACTTATATGTGGTAATGCGTAGAAAGACAAGATGAAGTGCTTGGTACCAATCACCGACACAGCTCTACCGATCCACCTGGAGAGCGCAAATTTTTGTTCCAAAGACGCTATTGATCAGCGTATGAAGACTTGGTAAGTTAGAAGTGCGTATTTAGCACCGGGCAAGCAGAAGCCCTACTTCTGACCTGGCGATCGACGGGGTTAAGCTCACTAGTAGGAACTATGTACGTCGCAAGTGAATGCAGTGGACCTACACCACCACGCGAAAAAAGGTAGTACCATAGAGGTGGTACTACCTTTTTTCTCGCATAGTGCACAGTTATTCGCTAATTTTACTGACCTGGAACCACCGAATCTTCAAACAGCCCTTCCTACCCACACGGTGTGGCTGACAACAATTGAAATAAATAACAGAATCGTGAATGCATTTGAGCGGCTCATTGTAAAGGAAACTCGTCCGAAACACACCTTTCGTGTGCTCCACAGGAGCCTCTCAAGGAGGTTGTTCCTGCCCCAGAACTTTTGCTTTCTTTTCCTTTCTGCAGATCATCCATCAACTACAATGTTGAATGCACTTACACGCGATAAAAGACCTTCAGAATGACCCTAGAATGCACCCGATTTACCGGGTGATAACCGTTGTGGTGAGCAAGCTTAGCACAGGGGAGAATCGAAGACGATTGAGCGACCTAATAGCGTGACAACTAAAGTAGTAGATTAGCACGACGGGGGCTTTTTGGAGAAATGGAGTAATTCCACGCATTTCTGGTGCTTTCCTCCAAGATTCATAAAAAGTGGTGTTTGCGATAATAGAACGGTTTGCTATCGGCACATATGATGGGTTGAAGAAGGAAGTCACGACATTTCCAACCGAACTTCCTCAGGAGAAATCGGTCCTCGTCCATTTATGCACGATGCTATATATTTGATCCCAAGGAAAGTAATATCAACATGGTTTTATGAGTCACAAAAGTGAAGCCTGCAAAAAGTTGTTTTCAGGCTACTGGAAAGAAGGTTTTATGACAGTGCAGAAAGCTGTGAACAATGCCATCTACGAGATTCTCACCGGCCATCACATCGACATATTCAATATTGACCTCATGGTAAAATTGCTTTAGCTCAACGTCACTTTGAAAATACACGATCACACATGGATTTTGAGTCAAAGCATGAACGAAGCAGTGCCATATGGCTCGGTAGTGAAGAAAAGGCCGGAAGAAGCCATTCGACAGACCTCAGAAATGGGCTCTCTTGCACTACGAACATGCATACTGTAGAGAGCTTTGTTTGGGTTCTTGTCAGTCTGTCAAGGAATTGCAATAACCTGAAGAACCTGGAGAGGTCGGTTACAAATTTTGGTAACCTGGTCAAGACACTCGTTGGCAGGAGCTGTACGCGCCAGAAGGATAGGGCATAAGGCCGAGAAAGTCAGGTTCAGGCTTCCACACAGGCCAATAAAGCAGAGAAATGTAAATCAAGGGTGTGCACTCGATGCCGATTCCAAAATTTAAGAGAGACATACTCCGCGTGTGGAGCGGTCTGCGGGTGGGCGGTGCTTAGATGAACAATTCACGGCTTGCTTGTGAGAGAGTCTAGAAGCCACATAAGTTGTACAAAGCACGCCTGAAGTGAGCTGAAGTCCGCCGAAAAGCTGGGGCGTGTGCCGACGTGGGCGGGGTTTCCCACAAAACTCATGATTCACTTGTGAGACAACTCAGGGGTTGTGGAAAAATGAAAAGGCTAAAGAATTGTTCTTCAGTATCACGTGAAGAGATTCGGTCGTGATGCACTGCGAAAAACTGTGGATTGCCGTTACCGCTGCAATTTAGCAAATCTCGGCATGGTAACTAATATAATAACTGATAATTCCAGATAGGTCGATTCCCATTCCCAGCGTACAAGTCGAAAATCATCGAAATCGGCGCATTCTTTCTTCCTGTCGTCATTGTATTCTCCTATATGACTAGTGTGATCTACATAGTAAAGAGTGTAGTAATGGAGAAGGAAGCAAAACTGAAGGTAAGAATGTCACTTGTAACAAAGTGCAGGTAATTATGCGGGTTAAATACGAAATCGATGGTCGATGTCGTGGTCGATGCTTTCCCGCTGGAAGTGAACGCAAAGCTGTTGGAAGGCTGGGAGATGCATCTGCAGAGAAAGGACTGACCGCTCAAAACTGGGCTCTTTATCCCGACGATCCCCGCGTTGGGCGAGAAGTTAACGTTATCAACATGAATGCACTGCTCTGCCTCTAGACACGGCTTCTCGATGCTAGGATCCAGCACCTAGAGGGGGGTGTAGACAGCCAAGAAGGGAGTTCACCGCCTCGAGGGCAAGCACCATTAGGCCATTGTCAGAATTGGAATCTAGCGATTTGCTAGTAGGAAACCCATGAATTTGCTGGCGTCTCCGCGCAGCCGCTACTAGTGATTCGCTGGATACGCAAAATCTTACACCAACCTTGGGCGCACACTTCGCAGCAACACGCCTCGTCCTTTTCCTAGAGAGACTTCCTCCCTTGAACTAGATACAGGGGGGCCAAAAAAACATTTTGCCCATGTCGCACTTCGGCCTTTTTTCTTCGCAGAGATTGCCGTCGTTGACGGAAGTTCCTCAGCAAAGTATTCCCTAAATGTCCCTCTATAAGTACACGCAGGCCTCCACTGCCCTCACCGTCTTCAGAATATGACGTCATCTGTCATCCGTCGTCAAGCTCAAGGCCTACCGTAACTGCTTCAGCCTGAAGCTCTTACATAATTTCGTGAATCGATTCAATGTTGGATAGTTTAGCTCCCACTATGCAAACCCCCTCGAAACTCGCTTTTCCAGTAAAGGTCGTTATGGTACACGATCCTTCGAAGACCCCATTGAGCTCGACCAGTGCACCATGTTTCCGGGGCAAATTTTTCTGATGCCGTCCACGTAGGTGGCCACTATGAAGATTTTCTTATAGAATGAAATGCGCTCTTCAATAATAAGTTGGATTCGGTCTGAATTGAGCAAAGTGTGCTTAAATCCATCTGGAAGTGGAGACAAAATGTCTTTTTTATTGGCCCCCCCTGTATATCCCTTTCTACGACCTCCAGTTTATCGTAACATTGGCCGTTAAATAGCTCTTAAAGTTTTGCATCAAAACTACTGGTATTGGCGTTTTTCACATAGATTGATCTACATACATATATCGACTATTTTCACCTTCAATAAAATATTTACATATTTACTTTCAATGATTTTACACTCAATGTAGAACAATAATATGTTACTTTTATTCTGATTGGCTCATGTTGTCAGATATTTACCCAAACCTTATTCAGGAATATATGCGGGTCATGGGTCTGAGCCAGTGGATTCATTGGGTTGGTCATTTCATCGTCAATTATGTGAAACTGCTTCTCTCAGTGATTGTTCTAACAATTCTGCTACAATT